ACTGCACGTGCACCACAGCCTCGTACAAGAGCCCGAGCAGCCTGCTCTTCGTCGTCTTCTCCAGCTCCTCGCCCAACACGAGTGGCCGCGACGTCACCTCGTCCCGCGGATCGCGCTCCTGCCTCCGCCTGCCTAAACCAAGTCCCTCAACCGAGTACACACAACGAAGAAAGTCCGACAATTTTATTTAGCATAGTTTTATCTATTGTAATAGACGACCCACTTCAACAACAACAAAGCTCCACTACATCGGCAGCACGACACCTTGAAGAAAAGCGACGAGGCGTCTGCGTTATCGTGAGGATGTCGAGAGCAGCCCTCGGCCGTCGAGGCGTGTCTCTGCCGTCTTGCTCGACAAGTACAAAGTGCTCGAAACCCTTTAAAATCAAAATGTGCCATACGGAGGCCTCTGCGTTTGCCACGTCATGTACCCGGTAGCACTCTCATCATCGAATAAGAAATGCATTCTATACTATGAGGTCGTTTCTTCGGCCTGCAAGACTACTTGTAGGTAGTAAGTTGACATGACGTCGAGCAGCTCGTGAGGCGAAAGCACGCTCCTCGGCGCATTCTTGACTTCTTGACAAAATGTGCGTAGTAATTAACGTCAAGAACAGCCTCGTCGCCGCCGTCGACCAATGAAATCGGCCAATACCCGGGATGGAGGCCGTCAACAAGTTCATCCTCGAGTCGCGCGAGTCGTGCGTGAAGCATGCGATGATGTCGTCGGGCATGGGCATTGTCATGGGCGTTGGCCTCGGCACCTTCCTCGGCACCTTTGAAGGCGCGCACGGCGAGCTCGTTGGCTCGACCATGCGCGAGCAGCTCTACCATGGCTTTCGCAAGAGCTTCCTCGCCGGCTACCACCGCAGCATTTACTTTTCTGGCGTACTGCATCGTATCCTCGCTTGCACATCGGCTCATGAAAAGATAGCAATTCGCATCCGTGGGGCTCGTCTACGCCGGCATCGAGTGCGTCATTGAGCGCGAGCGGGCCAAGCACGACATCGTCAATACGATCACCGCTGCGTCGTCGTCGGGCGCAATCTTTGGCGCCTGGGCCGCGCGCCAGCAGCCCGCCAAGCGTACGTCCTTGTACGATGTAGGTCTCTCAGTTCTAAACTCCTTGGGCGCTGTCTAGTCTTCCTCACCAACACGGCCAAGGGCGCCGCGAGCTTCACGGCCTTCGCCGTCGTCATGGAGTTTTGCTTGGATCGCTTCCGCGAGTAAGAGTTGACATGGATCAAAAAGACATGAGTAGAGTGTATTGAGGACCTTCTGCCAACCGGCCATCGGCCATTCCTCATCAATGTCTCCTCAGAGCAGTCGCGACACCACCATCCACGTCGCGTTGTCCGGCCGGGCCCACGCGACCTCGGTGCTCTCGCCCTAGTCACAGACATCCATATCGATATACATCCGCCGACGCCAAGAGGATATCAATGTACGTACGTGGACTGGCGCGGGCGGGACGTGGGTCTGAATGTGATGTAAAAACGCATCGAGCTGCCCTTGGATGGTTTGGGCTCTCGGCGTATGGCCAAAGTACACGAGCATCGTGAGCAGCTGGCGCAGATCCGCGAGGAACTCGGCATTCGGCATCGCGGCGCGCAGGCTCGTCTCGACGTACGCGTCTTCGTCCGCGCTGCCTTCTTGGATCTTCGTGCGGCGAAAGCGGCGCGGCATCTTCTTTGCTTTCGAGCTGCTCGTGGGCTCGGTCGAGCTCATGGCCGCGTAAAATGGACTCGTCGTCGCGCTGTGCGACGATGTCTCAAAGCTCAGCGACGTCCCGAAGCGAATGTCGCGGTTGCTGTTGTGGCTCCCGACCGAGCTCATGCTCATGTTGGAGAAGGCACTCGCCGCACTCGACGCGCCGTCGTCCAAGCCGTTGCCGTCGTTGGTCTTGCCGTCGATCCCGTGGAGGCGGAAGAGCCGGATCTGCTCGCGCAAGGTCGTGAGCCGCACCCAGTGCTTCTTGTACGTTGCAAATCGTCCTCCAATGTCAGTCTCCATGTCGTCGGCGGCTTGCAGCACCTAATGCCGTTGGGTAGGATGATGTACTAGAACGAGAAGGTAGGTACGAGCGGCTCGACTTCGGTCTCGATGAGGTCCCGTCGCTGGTGGAGCTGCGCGGCTTGCAGCGCCAGGCCCCACTCCCGCGCCTGCACGAGCGTGGCCACGCCTACATCGATGCCTCGTGATGGGTGGGACACGACATCGACGCACCTTCGTCCACGTCGTGGCAATAGTGGATGTACAGCTCGGCGGCCGCGACCGGGTTGCGCGTCGTTCCCATCGCATTCAAGAGCTCGTCGGCCATCTCGTAGGCGAGCGACGCGAGATCGCAGGTGTCGATGCGGGCGGCGATGCTCATCGCAAGACGCCATTCCGACGCCTTTCGGAACGCGTCCACGGCCAGCTCGAGCGCCGGCGGCACCGCCGAGAGGAACGTGTGGCCAGCGCTTGCAAACGCGCCCGTCGCCACTTGATGCGACCCGTACGCCACGAGGATTTGCCGCCGCATCGGAGTTCCCGTCGTGCAAAAGAGCTTGAGGCCGTCCTCGTACAAATGATGGGATGTGATGAGCGAGAGCGCAAGGGCGGCGTCGGCGTCGGCCGTGAGGTGGGTGAGCGCTTTGGCGTAC